TTAATTAAGGACAGAAGGCAGACCCGGGGCCCATCAGGTGGATGTAATTGGCCGGCACCAGGACGAGCCACATTAGCTGGCAGCTGCCGAGATGTGTCATGTCCTTGCCGGTAGATGTGCCGCATAAAAGTCGATTTTAATGTGAATTTCGTGTCGCACAAACGAAATAAATTTCAATAAATTTCCCACAAGCGAGCAGAAGGTGGCGGGGGTGGCTCTAATAACTTTTAATTAGTTAACCATGTGGAAGTTTTTCGCAGCCGAACTAAACGCAAATTTGCTGTCAGCGCAGTTTAGTTTTGCTCTTTGCCTTCTCTGCCGCAGGTCGGCAGCCAGAACTGAATTATTAACGCCTGGCAGGTAGAGGAGCCTTTATATATTTTGTATATATATGTGTGTGGATGGGAACCCCCTCTTTGATTGCGTCCCTTAGACAGGAATTTTTCGGCTGCCGGCTTAAGCGTCATAATTAACTGCGACACAAACATTTTCGGCACTCAGTTCAGTTCTCAGTTGGCTTCCTCCTCCTCGAGCATAGCTGTGGGAATGTATATACATATATATATATATTTGCGGCTCAGGCTAAACCAATTTGCCAGGACTTAAATTTTAAGCATTATTAATGGTTTTTGCGGCGGCGGGGTGGCTAAGAGCAGCCGATGCCCGGGGTTAGTTCGCCCAAGGAACGGCCTCCGCCTCCGGTGGCGTAATCACCGGAAATCTTGAACTGCCGCCGAGCGTGGGTCAAAGTGGCACAATGTTAGTGGTTGACTTGAGGCATATTTATAAGTCCATCATCCCTAAGTGTTCTTTTATTATTTGGTATGTCTGTTGCTGTTAGATACCTCAGATTTTTATAGATATCTCTGGTTTTGCTTTGCCTGGGAGAGCGAGAGAGTGTAAAAAGCACAGTAACATATTAGAGCTGTCACAATTTCCAATTCGACGGACTCCACTCGAGTGTGTGTGTCGGAGCCAATGAGCTTGTGACATGAGCCAGAGATTAAGGGATATAAATAAAAACATCTGACATTTGCCAGTTGAGCTGCCGCTGCCATTGCACCCAAACAAACGGCCTTCTCCACCCCCTCTCCCGTCTCTGGACAGACCTTAAACTAATTGTTTGCTTTGGGCCAGAAGGCCCAACAAAGTTTTTCGATTACAAAATTGTTTTCGGTGCGGGGCCGGGGATAGAATTTTTAGAAATTTCCATTATCCTTTCGGCAGCACGTCGGCGTAGGCAAACATTTGTCGGGATTGGGGTTAAGGGGGGTAGGGGCTCGGGCTGGGGGCGGTGTGATGGCCCCAAAACTATTCAACAGTCGGTCAGCGTTTTTAGTTTCATTTGTAGCGGCTAAGGCAAAGCGAAAGCAATTTACACGCATTTCGGCGCAAAATGAAACGTGCCCCGGCCACTAAAATGTTTATGAGCGCGGACAGCGAAATGCGGGGGGGTCAGAAAATGGGATGGAAAATGGAAGCTGGGGAAAATACGAATTGCCGGGGAGCTCTAAGCCGTAGCTGGCGGAGCTGATGAAATAGAACAGGGCCATAAACACGGTCGAGGAGTGGGCGCCATTTGCCACTTCTATTCTCAGTCTGTATATTTTTTTTTACTGGTCAGCACAAGTTGGTCAAGAGGAGTTGGAGCCCGAGCCCAAGCCCGAGTCGGAATCCCTTAAATCCTTCACGCCCCAGGGCACCGAATGGGTTGTCTGTTTGGATAGCGTTGCAATTGTTCTGCTCCTGCAGCACTAAAGGGATAGTTATGAGCCGCCCCCGGAGTTGCCTACTTAACCGGGCTCTTTCCCCCCGATTGGGCAGCAATTTGAATTAGGTTTTCCACTGCCAACCAGTTTCCCCAGCAGCCTCGTGAAAAATTCATGGCTAAATCAATGAAGCGTATGGCCAGAAATATGCATGAGGCACAACAATATTCCGATTGCATTGGCAATGTCAAAACACAAAACCGGGGGGTTTTTCGGCAGTGCGATTAAATGGGCAAACAATATTTCTGCTCTGGACAATTGCACAGCAGAAATCGTTGCATATTTTCCAGCAGATACCAATCCTACCAAAGGAAAAAAAATGGCTCAGTCTTGGCTTTGTGAAATTAACAAACTTCGGGCAGGATAATGCCTGGCTGGCTGCAGATGCAGTTCAATCGAGTCTACAGGAATCGCCAATTCAACTTGGTCCAACTTTGGCTACAACTTCCCCTTCCATCCTCATCGTCCCTTGTTGTAAATTGAAATACTTTCAGCCGGCAGAAAGTTGCCAGTTTACAAGTTTCCCAACAGTTCAGTTTCAGTCGCTATCTGCTCATAATATTTGCCATTAATGGCGAAAAATTTAATTTATGTCACGTCCCAGACGCCTAGCGCGCCTTGTTTCGCTTCGTTCCATTTTATTTGATTTTATTTTATTTTATGGCACCAGCCGACCTACTAAAAATATTTTCAAAAGTATTTGGCTGCTACGTGATGTTCGTCTTAAACTGCAGGATCAACTGACAGTCACGTGGGCGTGGGCGTCGTCTAAATGGGTTCTAGGGTTCCAGGGTTCTAGGATTGCCGGGATACGGCTTGGGGGATGGGGAAGGGACTCGGGATGGGGGCGGTTAAGGGTCAAATGGTAGTAAGTTAATCAAAGCAGCCAGTGTTTTTTTTATGGTTTTCTTTACTTAATATAAATTTAATTAATATTATGAAAGGAGAAGGATGGTGAAGTTGAATTTTTTCTATTTAAAGAAACGTTTACTTCAGCCATTCAGGGAAATCAAGGCCTTGCTTTGATTAAAATAAACTTTATATCCCTTTATTCTTAGTGCTAGTTCAAGAGAGAAAGATAAGATTATTATAACCTTATTATATACACCCTCAGCACGATCTTAATATTATTTTATTAAGATGAACTTTTGTTGTAAAATACATATTCCCCTTTCGAACAATCGAATCCATCGTATAATGAGTCGAAACTCTTAAAATAATTAATTAAATGAGAAGCGTAATATAATAAGTAAGTAAGTAAGTTATGCGATGCTATTGGAGCTGAAACAAGTGGTCTCAGGTCTCCGTCGCTCCTCTCCCCGCCTGGCTATAAATATTTTCAATGCTTCGAAGGTAAAATTAAATACGAAATATTTAATGATTTTCAGGGCTCTTCGCGCAAATAAAAACAACAACAACAGCAGCAGCAGCCGCAGCACTCATTTATAATGTAAACATAAATAACTCTTACGGCAGGATCCTTCAACTATGAGCCATACTTTATATATATGCACATATATGCGAGTATGTGGGATAAAGCATTGAATTGAAATTGTAAATGAAAACGAAAATGAAAATGAGAATTCCCACGCACACACGACGACGGCTATTTCGCTTCGGTAATTTATAAATACAAATATGCAAAGCCATAATACGGCAAACGAGTTGAGGAAACATCAGCATTTCATGGAAAATTAAATTGCCAATGGTCAAGCTTCTCGGATTCCGTAGGAAAAGCCCAAAGGGTTTTTCCTCCGCCCACCCCCAAGGGGATTTTTGGCATAGACGGAATATTGATGGAAAATAAATTCAATTTTTTCTGTTACTCACCAGCCCAAGAGTGATCCTGTTTGTGTAATCGATTCTCGTTGTAACCAATATTCCGGAACAGGAGCAGGAGCAGGACAACGACAGGGACGATGGGTCCGAGTTGATAATTGATAAACTATGCCAACGGCTGTAGGAGCTGCCATGGAAATTCTCGGATTTAATGTGATTTACACTCCTCCAACCTGGGCCGTGAGCATGCGTGTGCCTCGTTCCGGGCTTAAGGCAATACAAATTCCGGAAAACGGCATGCCCTGTCCGGCATCGTTTTCCACTTACTCCGGCCGGGTTTTATTGAGATTTTCCCCTCTCCCGAGCCGCTCGTCCGTGTCGGAGAGAGTTGGCTAAACGGAGAGTTTTCCTCCCATCGCCTCGAATTAATTGTCGGAGGAGTATAACCTTGACACATGTCTGGCCCCGGGGCTTGGGGAAAACCTCTACGCTTGGCTACCTTCTCTCCACTATTTTCCCTGCTCCCACACAGGGGCTGGCTGTGTGTGGTTTCCCCGATGGAAACCACTTTTTTAGGGAGAAGCGAGCAGCATGGAAATGGAAATGTTCTTATTGCTTTACGCTCCAAGACATTTTCCCACAGTAGCGCTTAATTTAATTTTGCCGCCGTTCTCCGGCGCTCGCCCTCTCGCTTTTAGTTTTAGCAAAAGTTTCCAGGGAGCGCGAGTCTTGCTTAATTAGCGCCTGATATGTGTGGGATGTACGAGTGCGATGCGGATTGCAGATGCTGCACTCCGGACATGAATCTCCCGGAAAACCAGAGCCAGGGGAGGGCCTTTGATCAGCATCCTTTGCGATTAATGCAGCAGCTCCATGCGGGACGGAGGCCTTAATCTTCTCGCCGTTAAATCTGCATGGCTGAAACTTTACTCTCAGTCTGAGTGCAGTTTTATTAACCCCTAAGTGAGTTGAGAGCAGGATCTGCATGTCGCATTCATGGCGAAAGGGTTTATGTTTGTTACGCAACTGAAATGTTCGTATTAAAAGCAGGAAGTCTGAACTATAGCTGGGACGTCTAGAGTTTTATTAAAAACTCATTTTAATTAATAAACTTTTCAGTTTATAGCCAAACAGAAACTTCTAAATTATCATAGTTAATGAAAGGCCTTAAAAACCTCCGCTCAAATAAATTCAATTTAAAGAATGGGTAATAGTTCTTCACTTAAAATACCTTTTAGTCACTTAGTATTACACTTGCCATTGTAAAGGTTAACTAGCACACTCGAAGGACTCGCTTTCAGCTCAAGTTTCACTCATACCCGCTGAGTGCTGGGAAATCTCATTATTTCCGTTTGGTTAAAGTGGAAAATACCCCCAGGGATTACCTCTGATGCGTATGTTAATGTGTAATTTCATATTAATTCCCCCATTTTCCTTTCTCCTTTCTTGCAGGTGTGCGAATCGTTTCACGTTGAGGAAATGTAAGTAAATATAATACCATAATTTCTGTGGGAGCCACCACGCAGCGGGGCTTGCACGCGGGAGTAAATAACTGAATAATTTCAAGCCATTCTGGGATATATTTGAATTAATTCGGGGATTCTTTCTAATGGCGCGACGACGACGCTTCGCAGATCTGAAGAGCGTCGCTAACAAAAGACTCAAGCTGCGAACTCGCCGATCGCGTTACCCACTCGGCAGCAGCTGAAGCAGCAGCACCAGATAATTACGATCCACGGCCAAGACTCTCAAATTATAGTTTACAGCCATTTCTGTGCGTTCTCCGATCTTTCCCGGCAATTTATGGGTTTCAGCACGCAAGGGGCTGTGCTCCCCGGCCACTTTTCCAGCCCCCTTCCCCCGGGCCCTCTCTGCTAACGAGCGCTCGTATTCATGTAGTGACCAAAGTTAATGTGTTTCTTTGCTGGCCACTCTTCTCCCCGAGAGCTATCAAAGTGTACCAGATCGCCGGCTCTCTTAATGTTTCTTTTTGCCTTAAAACATGTTTGTTTTGCCGGCTAGGCCCCGCCTCAGAAACGGTCTCCGTCGCCTTGGCTGGGTCACTGACCACAGACAAATTCGAACAACAGTTAACAACGCTGCCTATCGACGCAGCCGAACCTGGAGCCCAACTCCCATCAACTCGGCTCCTCCATCTCCATCTGCCGATCCCCAGCCTCTTTCCACATGTAGCACACGTTTTTCCAGCTCCAAACACTCGGGAAACTGTTTTTGTTTGGCCGATCAGTTAGCGCCGAACATTCCAACGCGGCCCCGAATGAATGAGTCTGGTCTGGAGATGCCTGGAGACGGGAAAACGGGAGATTGAGTGTCCAGGACCGGGGATACACACTGCTTATATAAAGCAATTCTTTAGTTCAAAGAGACGAAAGTCCTCTTTGCAGTGACCAGTCTAATTTAACATAAATGTACGTAGTTTCTAAATTTAAATTGCCTTTAGGTTTTTTTATAAAACTATTTTTTTATATAAACAAAAACTATTATTTATTCGTGTAAATTTCAACTCCATTGACAAACTAATCACTCCAATTAGTAGATTTTCCCATACAAATTCCATGGAACATATGTAATTTTCCACTCAACTGCATCGCTGAATTTGCGCGACGGCAACAATTGGAGCATTTTTCTGGGTTTGGGTTTATTTTCGTAGCACAAATGAAAATCAACGCGAAAATGTTCGCTTCTACCGAATATGGGAAATCCGGGAAAATATTCCCTCCGCCACCGATATATGTATGGAATTTATTGCAGTGCGTTTTTTGTATTTATTACCTGAACGAAGCGATCCAATTAACAGCAGCGATTCGCCTGGCTGTTGTCGCATTGCTCCAGTAATTCGAAACGATTTGGCCTTTATTGTTTCGCCTAATCCCCCAGTATTTGGGCCAAAACAATTGATAAATTAAATGTGATTAATTGTAGGGCCAACGGCAGAGGGATTTTCAGTTAAGTTATCAAACTGACAGCGGGCGGTAAATGCTGGTCTAATGCATTAAACTGCTCTGGTTGTGCTCGCAAATGTTTTAATTTGCTTTTGTGGCCTAAACCGGCCCCTGCCCCTCCGCCGCCGCCTGGCCTGGCCTGTGTTCTGCGGTGGGGTTTCTGTGGCAGAAAATGCGAAAATGTTTGCAATTGCCCGGGCTGAGGCTGAAATTGAGACAGAGTTTATTTTTTTGAGCTCGTGAATGGATGGAATCCCTATCAAATTGTCTGCGGTGGTCGGAGGAGGGGAAAATGTGTTTTATATTCCAGCAATTTAGCAGAAATATTCGCAAGTGCTTATCTGAGAAGGGCCATCAACTGCTGGCAGAGCTCTCATTTAAAGAGCTCCGGTTATTTTAAACTTTATGTGCATCAGGCCAGGTCCTTTTCCCAGCCATCCTTCCCTGCACTCGCTCGCTGCCTGCCTGTACGTGCGAAAAGCCCGGAGTTCACTTGTACGTGCCCGAAGCCCCCGAGAAGCAGCAACAAGTCAGAACAGAAATTCAGGCATTAAATAAACAATTTATTCGACCATTTCGTGCAATTCTCAGCTCGCAACTCGGGGCCAAACGAAAACTTCTAATCAGAATGGCAGAAAGTATTTTCATTTCATTTGCGGCTTCAGCTCGGTTTTGGGGCCAAACTTTCGTTGCCCGCAAACGAATCAACAAGCCAGTGAAAAGTTGATTAAACTTTTCTGTCAATACACAACATACTTACAATATTAATAATGCTGAAAATTAACTAAAGTTTCGACAGGGGAAAACCGGGGAAAACCCGTTTCCCGTGACTTATATAAGCCGCCGATATTAGCAACTAGTTGCCGTTCAATTTGGGCGTGAACGTCACGAAACCAAAGTCGATTGGCTTGGTTTTCGGATTGTGTTCAAGCCGGACTCCGGAGGTAGATAAAATTAGCCAAGCCTGGCCACAATCTTCTCCCATTCACTGCAGCTGCAAGCGAGCGACCTTCAAGCCGGGCCAGAACGTTTGGCCATTGGGCCATTCGGCCAGGGAAATACCAGGAAAAACTGAGAGCCGCGTCCGCGGGTTCAAGGCATAAATGGTGAAAATAAAGCGAATATTTCGTGAGTAACTGAGCCGCGGAACTGTAAAGAGGAGCGAGCTCTTTCAATCAATTGCGGCTTTTGCTCTTGCAGCTGGGAGAGCAATCAGCATTTGCAGTCCACCATCTACGACAGCAACTGCAACATGAGGACACTGTACAAAAAATTAACCTTAAATTTAAAAGCTAAGATTAGAATATCAAAAGTCTTAGTTTGTTAAATGCGCAGGTGAAGCTATAGCTACGATTCTATTCCCAGATCTTCGGGTGTAATTCCAAGATTTCCCGAAGCTTGATTCAATTATAAACTTTACTTTTCCCAGTGTAAGTGCTGTGGCAATAGCCATACCTAGAGCAACATCGAGTGCAGCAGCAACTAGTTTGACTGGTTGACACAGTTGGTGGCCAGTTACACAGAGGGGCAGGGAGCTGGGAGAGCTGGGAAATGGGAGCTGGGAGATGGCCAGGCTAAAAAGTAGTTTACGGGCGCACAGTTTTGCATTCTGCATTCGAGGGAAAAGCCAAAGAAAGGTGATGAAAAGGCAAAGTGGAAAGTCAAAGACGGCAAAGAATGCAAATTTCCCTGAACACTTTGCCAGCGATGAATTGCATTGGAGGCGTCGCTGGCGATGACGATGGATGCTGAGTGCTGCACTCTGGCTTTTGCGACTGCAATTGGCACTTTGACTGCTGGTGACTTTGTTTCACCTTTTCTGGATGGAAACCTGCTCATTAGCTATGCGTGGTGGACTCCCAGCTTTGTGCCTGGTCACGGTGGCTGCTGGCCCGGTTGCCTAATTATGGCCACTTTCGCCTGGCTAATTGCCTCGCCTTGTCATGGCGAAATTCATCAATGCTTTCGCAGCTCTGGCTCTGGCTCAAGCCGGAAGCCTTCGCAACGACCTTCCGACCTGAGCTGAGCTGACCTGCTCCTGATTTATAATTTCTTACGGCACCCCGCTTGACATTTTCGCGTCTGTTCTGGTCTACTGCATTTTCTATTTCTTGCACACTGAAAAATATAGTGCCAGGCGAACCAGTTTTCTCCAAATTTAGTCTAGATATCACAGAAATTATCTTGCTTTGTCAAGAAAAAATTCATTTAAATTTGCATTTTAAAGAAAAACCTTAAACTTCGCGAAAAACTACGTAAATTGAAGAATATTTTCCTAGCGAAAGGAAAGGTAATTAGGATAAATAATTATTAATTTTAAGGCTACTTTTACTTGGCTCTCAATTTTTCTCACGCTGCTCTAGTTCTCCTTTAGACTTTGCTAATTGGTCAGCAGAGCAGGCACTTTGCTCGCCGGGCGAACATTTCTCTAGCTGAGAATGCATTTAGTTCACTTAAAGTGTTGATTAGACGGAATTATATTTGAGTTTGCGAGGAAACGTTGAAGGAGCCACGCCCGAGTAGAGTAATTGCAAAATAAATGCAAGCATTCGTCGCTCTTCCCCCCACACTCTCTGATTTCTGCAGATGCCACAACAGGAAAGGCTCAGGATTGGGGAGGATTCGGATGGCGAAGGAAAACCTCCTGAAGAGCCCCTTTATGCACACATGCCCGTGCACTTGAAACTGCCAAAGGCAGTCAAATAACCTGCCGCTGAATCCTCCTGAGCTCCCAGGAGCTCGCATGACTGCCATTAACAGAAATACAGGCAGCGGCCGCCATTTTGCCCGCAGCACTTTGACAGCTCGCGACCAGGAGTCGTCCTGCCCGCTCCTGCTACCAGTCCATGACTGGGTATAGCATGAGTATTGCCTGGAGTTATGTCTGAAGTGGATTCGCGCCGCACAAAAGAGTTTTGCCAGCGATGTTTGCAATGTTTGTGCATTAATTAAATGCGATTTTCGTCATGTTGGTTGGAGTTCTTTTTTTGCAATTATCATCATCATCAGGATGTCCTGAACGAGCTGCAGTGGAAACAATTTAACAAAAAGTATTTAAAATGAACATTAACATGTCCTGAATATGTTTATTGCATTTAATTAAATGTTGGTTTTCGTAACTGAATGTACAGTTAATTGTTCCCAAAACAGTGAGCTTTAAAAGTAGTATTAATTGATTCTCTAATTCATAAACAATCGAAACATATGCTCCTCATCGATGCTCCTCATCGATGCTCAAATCTCTTCCCTTTGCCGCCAGTTACCAGTTTTTGGGGGCAACTGAAAGAGCTTTGTTATCGCTCGTCTGTTTCGGTTCACGGTGCAGTGCCCTGGAAATCGGCTTAGACAAATGCAGGACCTACTGGAGCGCATAAGGACATTTGCATGAGCCTTTAATTTCGGGCAGATGGCTAAGCCAAGCCAAATATTTGGTCGAGCACCGACCGAGGGAGCACTGAGCTGGAATGGACTAGTTTAGTGCCTTCTGATTTTCGACTCGACTATTGCCGCTCAGAATC